GCTGTGGTTATTTGTAAAGTGAAATAATTTCTATAGCACTCAGCATCAAAAGGATGGTCATCTCACATGGAAGTACTTTATCAGTATGAAACAATAATAACCCTTGCAAGGCTGAGCAAGGTTTCTGTTATCAGTCAGATTTTCTAATCAATCTGACACATTATAGCAAAAAAACTAGAAGACTTAACTTTTTTCCGCTAGAGATATTGACATATTTCCCAATTCCTATTCAAGTGCATACACATTTTTTATGACATAAAAATAACCCAAAAAGTTACAAGCAAAACAGACTTCAGAGTGAGAAATATATGGCCATCTCAAAACTGCAGGAGATGTTCTATAACTTCTATAAGAAAAAGGAGAATATGTGGGGAGACAAATTCATATTCATCCAGGATTAATATTATCATTTTGGTGACTGGGATGCATAGTCTTAAAACCCAGATGATGGTGAAAAGAGCAGTAACAAAAAACAGCCTTGTGTACTAACTATTTATACATCAAGGATGTTGTTGTTGTTGTTATGTGCCGTCGAGTCGACCCCGACTCATAGCGACCCCTCCTTGGGTTTCCGAGGCAGTATCACTACGGAAGTAGGATTGCCCAACCTTCAAGGATACATATAATAAAAATTCTTATGGAATAGCTATGCGAGGAGCTCCATAAGCTGTTACCCAGCAACACAACCACGTCTGATGTAAATTGCTTAAAAAAATAATAAATAAATAAAACACAACCATTCAAAGTCACTGCATACAGCAACTGAAGAAACATTTATTAAAGGAGGCCAACTAAATCTTGGTCAGAACGGTAAGAGTCTTGAGCCATGACCCACACTCCTCCCCCAACCCCAACAGCTCAATAAATGCATGAAAAGCATTTGACAAAACTGAACACCCCTTCAGGATAAAAACACTCAACCAGCTAGGAACAGAAGGGAACTTCCTTAACTGATAAACAGCAACTACGCAAAAGCCCCAGCCAACATCATACTTAATATTGAAAGACAGTGCTTTTCCCCATAAGAGTAGGAACAAAACAAGGATGTCTGCTCTCACCGTTTCTACTCAACACTCTACTAAAGGTTCTAGTCAGAACAACTGGGCAGGAAAATGAAAGAAAAGGTAATCATATTGGCAAGGAAGAAGTTACAATATCTCTATCTGTAGATGATCTCATATATAAAATATTTACATACAAAAATAAATATATTTCATATATAAAAACTTATACTCAATCCACTAAAAACCATTAGAATTAACCAATGTATTCAGCAAAGTTGTAGAATACAAGATTAATACATCTACTCCTCACTTAGTATCTCATTATCAAACATTTTGTATTTCCAAAAATTTTGAAAAAATTCTCAGGTGTTGCCTCTGAAGGTGCAGGGCCAGGGCTGGCCCCAAGGCACCCTCCACAAGACACCCTTATATACAGGAGGCCCTGGTGGCAATCAGGTGACACAGGGACAGGGGTTGACTGGTCACAGTATACCTTCTCCTGCTCCTCTGCAATGTCTCTATCTGGCATTGAGAGCACAGGGCAATGGCAGAACAACAGAAGGTTACGAGCAGGCAGAAGGAAACTAGGCAAGGGCTTCAAGGTGCTGGGAAGGTCAGTGGGGGGAGGCAGGAAGGGAGGGAGAGGAAAGGGGGCTCATGCAGGGCTGTGGGGCCTGGACAGGCAGAGGACAAAAGGAGTTACTACCCAGGGCAGGCAGCAGGAGGTGGCGGGCAGTGGGCAGCACAGGACCACCACCACCACCACCACCACCACCATTAACTTCCATTAATTTTTGGACTCTCTATTCATGGATTTGAAAACTTTATTGTTAAAATCACAATACTCCCCAGATCAATCTACAAACAGACTCATCAAAGTCCCCTTCAAATGCCCAGCTGACTTTTTTTTTAACAGAAATTGAAAAGCTGATCCTGACATTCACATGCAAATGCAAGGGACACAAAATAGCCAAAATAATTTTGAAAAAGAACAAAGTTGGAAACTAAACTTCTCAATTTCAAAACTTAACTATGGAGTCACGATATCCAGACTATGTGGGACTGGCATAAAGATAGACATATGAGTCAATGGAATAGAGAGTCCAGAAAGTACTTACTTTTATGATTTTTGACAAGGTTGTCAAGATAATTCAATGGAGAATGATTAGCCTTTTCAACAAAGGAGTCTGGGACAACTGGATATCCAAATGCAAAAGAACTCTACCTCGTATGGTATTTAAAAAATTAATTAAAAATAAGTCATAGAGTTAATTATAAGAATCAAACTATAAAATTCTTAGAAGAAAACACAGAAATACAGCTCTGTGACCTTGGATTAAGTAATGATTTCTTAAATATCATACCAAGCACAAGCTACAAAAAAAAAAAATAAAGTGGACTTCATTAACATTAAAAACACTTGTGTTTCACAGGACACCATTAGGAAAGTGAAAAGACAAATATAGAAGACACTATTTGCAAATAATGTATCTCATAAAGGACTTGCATCAAGCAATTCAAACCCACCAGCCACTCCTCAGAAGGAAGGTTGAGCAATCTACTTCTATGGTGATGTTGTTGTTGTTATGTGCCATCAAGTCGGACCCGACTCATAGCGACCCCTCCTTGGGTTTCCGAGGCAGTATCACTACGGAAGTAGGATTGCCCAACCTTCCCTTCCAAGGAGTGGCTGGTGGGTTTGAACCACCAGCCGTCTGGTTAGCAGGCAAGTGTCTTAGCCACTATGCTACCAGAGCTCCCTCTATAGTGATACCACCTCGGAAACCCAAGGAAGAGTCGCTATGAATCAGGTCTGACTCAACAGCACTTAACAACAGCAACATTGAGAACATACACAGAACATTTACGATTCAACATAAAGAAGAAAAATAACACAATTAAAAAGTGGATTAAGTATCTAAATAAGCATTTCCCCAATGAGCACACGGTTGACAGCATTAACCACCAGGGAAACAGAAATCAAAACCACAATGAGATGCCACTTCACACATGCTAGGAAAGCTAGAATAAAAAAGATAGATAATAGTAAGTGTTGGTGAGTATGTGGAGAAACTGAAACCTTCATATACTACTGGTGACAATGTAAAATGGTATAGCTGCTTTGGAAAACAGTCTGGCAATCCTCAAAAGGTTAAACCTACAGTTACCATACTATGACTCATACAATGAATGGGTAAATAAAATATGGTATACATATAATGGAATATTATTTTATAATAAAAAGAAATGAAATTTTAATATATGTTACAACATGGATAAACCTTGAAAACATGACACTAAGTGAAAGAAGCCAATCACCAATCACCATATATTGTATGAGTCCAGCTATATGAAGTAACTAGAATAACGTATCTATATAGACAAAAAGTAGATTAGTAGTTGCCTAATGCTTAGGGTAAAGGAGCTCTGGTGGCACAGTGGCTAAGGCATTTGGATGCTAACCAAAAGGTTGACAGTTCAAACTCACCAGGTGCTCTACAGGAGGAAGATGAGGCAATCTACTTCTATAAAGATTTACAGCTTTGGAAACCCAATGGGGACCACTAAGAGTCGGAATCAACTTGATGGCACTGGGTTTGGTTTTTGGGTAATGCCTAGAGTACAGAAGAGTTTAGGAGAAAATAAAGACTGATTGCTTATGTCTATGAAGTTCCTCTTTAGGGTAATGAAAATATTCTAAAATTGGTTATGATGATGGCTGCATCAACTCTGTGAATATACGAAAAAACAAAACAAAACATTGAATTGTTTATTTTAAATGGGTCAATTGTATGGTATGTGAACTCTCCCAATAAAGCAGCTATTAAAAAGAAACGAATGCAAATGGTGTTGATCTCTTTGTACACACTTTGCTACACAATAGTTAAATGGGCTTTGTTCACTGGTAAATTTATACTGATTTTTAACAAGGAGACTATTAACCAGCATGTTTGTTGAAGTGTTCTGTGAACCAGAAAATTTAAACACCACTACTCTGGAAAACAGGAGCTCTGGTGGCGTAGTCCCTAAGGCATCTGACTGCTAACCAGAAGGCTGGTGGTTCAAACCCACCAGCCATTCCTTGGAAGGAAGACTAGGCAATCTACTTCCATAGTGACACTTCCTCGAAAACCCGAGGAGGGGTCGTTTTAACTTGGAACTGACTTGATGGCAGTGAGTTTGGTTTTCTGGTTTGGCTCTTTGAGTTTCACACTTCCTCAAAGAATAGGGTTACATATGATCCAGTGTGTCCACTCTTAGGTACAAAGCCCCCAAAATTGAAAATGTATGTCCACACAAAAACATGTACATGTATGTTCATAGCAGCATTATCCACAATAGCCAAAACATAGAAACAACCCCAAACCCCTGCTGATTCAAAAATAAACAAAGTGTGGTACACACATCCATACAATGAAGTATTAGTCGGCCATAAAAAAGAAATGAAGCACTGATACATACTACAACATGGATGGACCCTGAAAACAAAATGCTGAAAGAAGCCAGACATAAAAGACCACATATTATATGATTTTATTTAAATGGGATCTCTCAACTCAAACTCAAAGTCATCAAGATGATTCTGACTCAGAGACCCCCACTGGGTTTCTGAGACAGTAAATCTTTACGGAAGTAGACTCCCCCATCTTTCTTCCATGCAGCGGCTGGTGGGTTTGAACCGCTGACTTTCTGGTGAGCAGCCAAATGCCTTGTCCATTACACCACCAGAGAATACAAAAACCCAGAGACAGAAAGATCAGCAGTTTCCGGGGGCTGGGAACAGACAATGAGAAGTGACTATTAATTTACATCTGGGGTGATACAAATATTCTGGTATTAGACTGTGGTGTTGTTTGCACAATTCTGTGAATATACTAAACACCAATGCATTATACACTTTAGAGGGGTGTGTAAATCTTATGGAATGTGAACTGCATTCAACAAAAAAGAAACATTTCTTAACATTGCAAATACTAATAAGATGTGCAAACTTACCAAAATTCGCTTACGGTCCTTTTCTGATAAAAATTTTACTGGTGGATATTTCTGGATGAAGCTGTATAACATGAAGAGATTTAAAGAACATCAGATATCTCACATGAGTATTTTCTCCATAAACCATCAAAACAAATGCCAGATTTTGAAAATGGTATTTCTTGTTCCTCCTCTTTAGCACAAACGAGCGCAGCTGGAACCAAGGAGTTGACTAGCTTGAGTTCAAAGATTATTTAATCGATGCCTTGTTTAGGTTATGACTGGAGATTCTACCCAGGAAAAGCTGAGGCAGCATTAACTCCATAGTTCAACCAACAGCATAAAATGAGAAAAGAGGGGAGGAGTCTCAAGATGCTATTCCAGAGTCTGGAAGAAAGAGAACAGCT